GGACGCGGGATCGTAGCGCGTTACACGAGACGAGGATGAGCCGGCATTAAGGGTCCGCCCTTGTCGCGGGGATACATCGTTATTAAAACGATGCGCGCGTTTCGGTGCCCTCGAAACAAACAAATCGAACGACGCATACATTATTGATCCTGCTACCTGGCGAAAATTCATACACCAGCTGAAAACACAATTTCCACGGTTATTTATTATTTTGTTCGCCAGGGAATTAATCAAAAACGGCTGGACAAGCGTGTCCAGGACGAATAGATACGTAGGGGGATGACTTTTGCTTGTAATATTTAATTGAATTCCCAGCTGCAAATCATTTTACCAACGATAATGCGAAATTTATGTCGTACATCAATGACGAAGCTTTTCAATAATAATAATAACAATCGATTAGTATTATGAAGCATGGTGAAAAATTGTGTGTTTGAAGAGCGAATAAAAAACGGACGATTAGTCGATTAAAAATTGAACGTTACCTCGAGATCCTACAGGGGTTGTATGAGAGAGAAGAGGAGTTGCGCAAACTTCAAATTACTTCCGCTGATACACCCAGCAGAAGTTCATTAACAATTCTTAGTGTTCTCTCTTGAGCCACAAACATCATTTGGACTTCTGCCATAAAACATTCCCCGAGTCGTCTTACCCTATCTTTTCGCTGGTTTAGCAGTTAACTGTGAACCCTTTTCATCCCGTCCCTTGATATTGGTTGTTAACCCCACCTAGGACTCGACTTAATCCATCCACGCCACTCTTTAATAGCCTCTTTGGAGACACGAGATCCACGCGAAACGAGAACAATTTTCTTCCCTTGACAAACATCGCGGTCGAATGTTAGTATAATTTTCCCATTGGATTTTTCACCCTCTCTCTAATTCACTCGACGCTAATTTCATTATGATCAATTAAAATTTTACAATATTTTCATAACAACGATTGAAATACACGCGTAAAAGCGAACTCGATCGTTCGAACTGATCACTTCGTATCCGCCACGACGGTAAATGTATACAATGTACATAACGAACGAGTTACGTGGTCTCGATAAAATCTTAATCAAACGCGCGTAATAACCGTGATCCACGATAAACTGGTTACTCGAGCGAAGCCAGTGTCGTCCTCCGATGATTAGTAACGAAATCACTGATAGAAGAAAAAAAGTCCCTGTCCATTATAATGTTCCATTTATCATGAGACATTATCGGCTGTTATACTTTGCCTGGGTCGTTCGGCGTCGGTGAATTGATAGGTTATCGGTGTGTTTAGGGTGGCAATGAATCCCCATAGCAACGTCGGAATACATTTCCACGTGATTCCGTGCATACTGTCCATGTCGTGAGTTTGGGGTTAGATCTGGCTCTGTGTCCGTGCCAACATTGCACTACCTTCTGGCGCATTGTTGCCCTTACACATGTGCACTGCTTTCCCTCTACCTTTCCCCCTTTCCACCCTTCCATCCTACGAACGTCTCCTCTCTTTCCCTCTGCTGACCCTTTAATCCCTCTATCGCTTTGTCTCTACCTAGCACACCCCAGCACTCCTCCCCCTCGAATCTCCCTGCCTCTCCTGGCTCTCCCTCTTCTAGATACACATCTCGGATATGTGCAGTCAAGGGGAATGCACGGGTGTATAGAGTGAGTTTGTCTCATCTTCTGGATGCACAGACGACGGAAGTTGAGCAAATTTTCGGAGGGGTGCGAAATGAGATCGCGACTACCGTGCTCCGAACAGTGCGACAACAGTTTTCGTACGTTCCTTGATTGATTATCGTCCAATCGGGCCACGATTTTCCTCGACGCTTAAATTAATTAATTTGATAAAAGAACAATATGAATATTTGAAGGAATTGCAAATTTTCCTTGGCGGGAGGTCTCTTTGAGAAAAGTTTGCACTTCAAACAGTAGGTCGATGGCTGTGTTAAATTGAATTTTGCAAAGTGCATACTTTGCCGTCGGGTTAGGACCGGGGCGCAGGGTTTCAGGGGTTGTTTGAAATATGCGCGTTTGAACGTTCCACCGCGAGATTTATTGAAATATCCATTGAGCCATTAATAAAACGTAACTTGGACTGCCTTTCCGCGTTGGTTTCATTAAAAATTTAAATGGACCGTGGACAAGCGAAATTTACTTATGCATATGAGAAGAGGTTGTACAACATTTTCACGGCGCGAATCACCGTCGGGCCGATCCGATGGGCTGGTTAACAGCCCGAACAGAAAACAAACGTCTGCCGCTTAATACGAGGACAATTAATCGAATCGTTCCAATTGCCGGCGATCAATCGGACAGCAGTGGGGCTCGATGATGCAAAAGTGGCTTACGACGCGGAGCTGACTTCGATCGATCGCCGGCCCGTTTTCCAAAATTCACGGTCTTCTAATTGGATTTCGGTTAAGCACGTCGACCTCCGGACGATTGAAAAGCAAGAGATTACCAATTTCGGCGAAAGTTCCCGGACAAGTTTAAAACTGCATTTAAATATTTAAATAGAATCGAGTTGCGAGCTGAAACTGCCGCCATCAGTTTCACTACCGGCTTTAACGTGATTACAAAGTTTTCGCAGTTTACTCGCTCTCCCACCCCCGCCGAAACAACGCCGCCGAATGTAATACACGAATAATCAGCTACGATTCTCTGGCCGATAACAAACGAACAGAGGATGATGGTATGTTAAAAATGGCGCGAGAATTGACGAAGGTTTAATTAAAAACAATCCACGGGGAGAAAGAAGTAAGAGAATCGTGTTATCAGACGGACAGAAGGAGTCGATGCAAGATGCAGCGACCCTCTTAGGAAATCACGACAATAAATACGTGAAAAGGCGAACAGGACAAAGGAAGAGAAAGAAGAAGAAAAAGAAGAGGAAGGGGTTAAAGGAAAAAATAAAGAAGCATACGCGTCAGAAGATTCTTCTTTGTGCCACGATACCTTCTCTCGGTTACTATTCTGCTTCATCGTTTTTCGCGTGTCCCCGCGATTAAGACGAAGGGTTTGTTTTCAGAGCCGTGATTCAGGGGGTTGGCGATCGGGGAAAAGAGCGAGGCAAGCCTACCGAGCGAACCGGAAGCTCGACGAAGACGGGGAAATAGGACGGATGCGGTAACATGAAAGAGAGACGGAAGATCTTCGGTGAGACTGACAATGAGAGGAAACTAGCAGCAATGTACGTGACCGAGAGAGCTAGAAAGGGAGAGAATCCATGGCCAAGTGCTCGAGTAGCGATGGGAACAACGTGTTCTCGAACAGGCTTGGAAAATCAAGTTGTGCGCGCTGAAAGTTTTGAGAATAGATTTTAAATCATCCAAATTTCTCCTTCCACCTTCTTGCTTGATCAAAAATAAATGAATGGGGCGATAAATAAAGTACGATGGGGTTAATAATCGTTTCGTTTCATTTGTATAAAAGAGAGTAAGGATAGAGACATGTGCATTGTTTGCGTTGCCAAAAGAGACATCATTAATTCCATCGGTGATTCTCTGTTCAACTTCAGTTAGCCAAGTCAGCTGGCAGTTGCAACGCTATATAGGGGTTAAAACCTGGCCAGGTCGTATCGCTTGGCTCGAGGCTCTTCTCGCCGCTGGTAAATGGATTTGCCCGCGGAGCCATCGGGTTCAAGTGCATCCTCACAATTGCTCGTTGAATCTCAATTCTTTTCCGCGCGATTCGATTCTACGCTAACGAATCTTGCAGTTATATAACCTAATTGCGGTTCAACTACGCCGGCAAGTTTGCGACGTTAATTAAATGTAACAGCAAACTTGGCGTTGTACGGGAGCAAATATGATTACTATTTCGGTGCCGTTATACTCTATCTTACTCGAATTCATTCTGATCTATATCAATATCTTCGGAAAGAATTTTTCGAAAAATCAAATATCACAATTGACGGTGTACATTAATTAAAAAGCTAGACGAACGACGAGCAGAAGAATTTATTTAGCATTCACTTTTCTTCAGTGATTTATGCTAGCTCGCACCGCTCGTACGAGATATATCCTCGCGGTGAACATTAGCGCAATAAATTTTATGCGATTCGACGGTCGGTACGCTAGTCATTACGAGTGTTACTCAATCTGGAAGGAATATACGAAGAGGGCAAATTGCATCTATCATTTTTTCAGCCTATTGTGCTCGCAGAGTTGTTTATTGCCGTTGTAATTCCACCCCCTCCTGTACGAATATTATTTTCTAGCATTCCCAAGTTATTATTCAAGCATTGTCGCGGCAACGTGGAATAATATAGAGGAATTAAATCGCACGAATCAGCAGAGGTCCAAGAGTTGGGTTAAACTTGGTGAAAATGACGTAGCCGCTAGCATCCAGCGGACAATTAAATTATCGTCGAAGCAGAGTAGATAATGATGCACTCGAGGACAACATAAACCACGAGTTACGTTCGCTGGATTATATGTGTATACATAACGAATACATAGGTGTTTTAGCTGCTACCCTCCCAACGGATCTATGTAGGGAGGAACGGGTTGGAATTTATTAGGGGGGTTGTTTCAGTGCTTCGAGCCAAACGTGTCTCCACCTGTCGGTAAAACAACGTTCCAAGATTAGTCGGAACGGTAAAATAGGTTTCTATCTGGCAGGAGCAAGGGGGAAACTTTCGAACTCTATCAAAATGGGTAAACTCAATTATCGTCGGTTCTTTGCGTTCCATTTAGAGAACTTTGATTCAAACGGTAATTCCGTCTAGTACGAGCATACTGTTTCAACGTGGCCCAAAAAGTTTTTCCATAAAGAAAACAAGCCCGCGTATCGAAGTTGTACGACGAAACACGCGTAAAGAAGTTTCTGTCCCACTTTCGAAGATGTGGGTACGTATATGACGATGTAGGGAAGAAATACATATTTATAGCATTCGTAAAAGACGAGTTTACAGAAGATATTTAGTAAGGAAAGATATTCTTCCATTTGAACAAAGAATAAAACATAGGGCGAATCTGAAGATTTATTATTAACAAAATTATTTTTTTTTTTTTATTACAGGACGAGGTGCTGACGATATCCGAAAAGGTGGTAGTCCGTGTTCACGACCTGGTTACGTGGTTATCACCAACCTTGGAATGGTCGTGGGGTCGGGAGGTATCTTATCCACCGACACCCTCGTCTTCTCCGGAGAACAGCCCGTTGAGGTACGAGATACCTCAGCCCCAGGTGCTCACAGATCCTGGAATCGATTTCTCGGATGTCGAGAAGCAACAGAAGGAGTTCGAGAGCAACCATAACACGAGGAAGACGGAATGCGGTGCCCAAACGAAAGTGGTCGTGCTATCGTACCCGAGGTATTGTCGATATCGAGCCCTTCTACGTAGGCTCGAAGGTGCCGAACCGTCCTGGCTTTGCTCGTCCGTAGCAGCCGCCCTCGGCGGGTTCACCGCCACCCCGGGCACCAGGGTGCTCTTCTGCAGGGACACCTTTGACTACCCGGATCTAGAAACTCACGAACTCCTCTGCAATCATTTAGGTAGGTCGATGCATGTCTCCGCGACTTCCTCCTTTGCATTGGTAAATGAATGGGGGACGAAGTTTTTTATATAGATATTTAGGTCTTTTTCAAGGGACAGGTTTACCATCTTTGGTTTTAATCAGAGAACTATTAAGAAAGTAACATCTATCTAAAATACATATTCTCAGGTTTCTCGAAACACTCCTCCCGGGGCAGCCCCGAAAATTTATACGTCAGTTTATATGATTCCTATTTAAAAAAATATTTGCTCTCTTTTTTTTAAATAGAGAATGTATTCATTTACATAACTCCTTATTGTCGCAAGTGTTTTAACGCTGATAACGGATAATCCAGGAAAGAAATTATATAATTATGAATTTCATATCAATTTAAAGAAAATTCTTCGAAAAAATATTTTATTGCATTTTTCAAGGAATTATACAGAATCAATTTAAATAATAGAAGGGCTACAAAATAGAAACAATAGCGCATCTAGATTGGCCGGTACGGAAAACGGTTGAGGGCATTGACGATCGTGCTTTTTCGAACGCGAACATACGTGGTGCGTTACTTTGTCGGCGGGACAGCTTTTAACAGTATCAGAATACGGTCGTGATCCGAAAGGAACGCATGTCCTCCGCCTTTAAATTTCCATCAGTCTCCTGCGTCTCAGCATTTTCATTTAAATCCGTTCTCTTTATTATAATGTGAGAGGAAAACCATTGATTACGTGATTGAAGTATTAAATATCGTGATTGTGATTTAATTAGCCTCAGTGATCATACAGATTTCGATTGCTTGTAATGACAATAGTGATGAAGATCAAAAACAATAAAGTGGTATATTTCAATATAGGTGAGTGCTATCGAATGTTCAAAAGTATTTTTCATATTTTATGTAAAAAAATCGGTTCATTTCTTTTTGGTGAAACGTGACACGTGCACGTGGAACACACATGGACAACTGTACAATGTATGTGAACTTGAAATGTGCATAACGCGATACAGATTCAATGATTTATTTTTCTTTTCTCTCTGATGCAGAGATTTCATTTCAATTGCATTTAGTGAAATATTGCATTCTACAGAGGTTATTCTTTTTTTTTATCGTCGATGAAATTTCATAAATCGTATGAAATGCAATTTCTACGCGTCTATCCGTTTATTAAAAGGCAACGAGACGGGATAAAAACGATACAGAGTTCAAATAACACACACATACACACTTTTCGTGATCGTGTCGTAATCGTAAGCGGATCGTCGTTTCGTGGTTCCTTATATCCTCGTGGCGATCGAATATTCTCGACGTTTCTATTTTTTTAATTTTACTCATTAGGGTAAACAGATTTTTACACCCGTTGCTCGTTTTTCGGACGCTGACGATTGTCTACATATTTGGCAACGATACGTGTAAACATTTCCGCGATCACACCGTTGTTGTCTCACACATGGGCGGAGGAGACTTCACGAACACCGATCAGCTGTTTCGAATTTAACATATCTTAACGCCTGCCTCCTACACTGTTTATTTGTTAATATAACATAATGGAAGGATACATTTTATTATTAAATAATTATGTTAATAAATGAATGTATTATTTAAATACAAATTAGATTTCGTAAGTTTCTCTCGAAACTTCATTTTCCAATTCAAAGGAACAAACGAATGGTTGAAACAGAAGTAAATATATAATGAAACTGACTATTTTATGTCCAATTACGAGAGAATTAAGAGGGAACATGCAATCGCTATGCCGGTCTTTTAAATAGAAACGGAAATCGTGCGGGACACGAGTTATCGTGTTATTTAATCCCAATGGGGATCGTTTAGTTTCTTGGTACGATCTTGAAACAAACAATTCTCGTAACCGTCAATGGCAAACTATAAACTTGAATGTTTTATACCATTTTGTACCGTTTCCTATCTATTCGTTGGCCCAAGGATTATTCGAACTCGTTAACTAAATCGCTTTTCAACCAGATAAATATTACAATAAAATTTTAGTAAAATAAAAATCGTCGAAGAGAGAAAATTGAACGTAGCAATTATGTATGAAAGCCATTGTAAATTAATGAACATTTTGAAATTTAAATATTTAAATTAATCAGTTGCGCACAGCCAAAGTTGAAAGATTTTAATTTACCAATGCAAATATCTCTTGAATTTTACACCTTCCTCCCCGTATTACTAATTAATATTAATTACTAATAACGTTCGCGATCGTTTATTCGTATATTCAGCGCCGAAATTAAAAGGACGACCAAGGAGGAAGCGTAAAAAGCGCAGCGCATCGCCTGGCGAGTCAAGCAACGAAAGCGAAGCCTCGGTAGCGTCTACCTCGAAGAGTGCACCATCGACGAATTCGAGCATGGTGGTGCAGAGCGTCGGTAGGCCACCATCGTCGGCTGTTCGACGTAGCGAGCGGAAAACAAGCGCGGAGGAGAAGAAGTTCCTGACAGACGTCCAGACTTTCATGAACTCGCGGGGTACGCCTGTCGGAACGATGCCACTGCTGGGCTACAGGCAGAGTCAGTATCTGAATCTTTTTTTTTTTTTTACAAATCAATTGGCCACCACCTGTAGACGCGCTTTTCTTAACACTTTGCTTGAATCTGATTAAATTTAAACGACGATCGCAATCGGTACTGCTTCGAAGCTGACATACAGCAGTGTTTCCTTTTGACTGACACGCTTCTCACGATAATCGTATCGCTAGAACGACTTACACAGAAGCGTCCAAGTAACGATGATAATGTTTTCTTTTGCAGTCGACCTCTTCCTGTTTTACACGAAGGTACAACAGTTGGGTGGTTACGACTCGGTTAGCGCGGGCCGGTTATGGAAGACCGTCTACGACGATATCGGTGGTAACACGGGATCCACCAGTGCCGCGACAATCACTCGTCGGCATTACGAAAGGTAAGGACTCCGATTACGAAAGGGGTAGCTGAGGTAAATGTTCGATAATTGGGTTTGATCGTTGTACTTCGTGCGAACAGGTTACTGTTGCCTTACGAGAGGTACCAAAAGGGCGATGATGCAAAAGTTAAATTGACTCATGTAAGACGCGCGAAAAGTAATAGCGGGTCCGAAGAGTCCGAGGAGGCGAAGCAAGAACCGGGCGAACCGTATCCACCGGAAACGCCTCCGCCTATGGAAACGAACCTTCCCGCTGTAACTTCTCCCCTTCAACCAATTATATCAGCAACGGTAAGTATCGCGAGTTGGGATAATTAACCGGGCGATCGAATGTAAGTGAAAAATGAATTTCATTGTTGCAGCCCTTCCTTCCGGGTGAGAAACCGAAGACGGAAACTAGCAAGACGTCGTCGTTACGTAGCGTACGAGTGAAACCAGAACGATTGAAGTCGTTGAACACGATAATCGCGAACAGTACGTCGTCGCCCAGCCAGCAAACCAACCAACTGCCAAGCCCGCCACCTTCCTCGAACACGTCGATCTCGACGCCGAACAGTACACCCTCCACTACGCCGACGAACGGTACCGGAAGTCAGAGCGTTCTAGAGAGGCAATTGAACAGCCCTCTGATATCGCAACAAGTACCACCGTCGTGTTCTCCACCGGGTCTACCGGTCACCACAGTAGCGACAAATGCCTCTACGGTCGTTACCTTGACTCCACCACCCGAGAAGGATATGAAGGAACTGAAATTAGACTCTAAACAAACCACCCTGCTGGCACAGGGTAAGGAGAACATACCGTTATTCGGTGAGAAGTCTATATTCGCCGAGAAGGCGATAGTGCCTCCTAGATCGCCAGAGGTGATCGATCTCGAGACGGAGAGCGACACTAGTAGGGACAAAATAATCATTCCCAGTTTCAAGAAACGCAAGCTCGAGATACTTCGCGAGGGTGGTCTCGAAGTCACTGCCGTTGACTTGGACACGCGGCCGAGCGTGATCCAAAGCAATCCTCCGGCTCCAGCGACCATGAAGTCCGAGGAAAAGCCGCCAATATCTTATCCGCTTCCAGTCACGCCTAACTCCATTCCGAAATTGATTTCCGTCACCGTGACACCGGACATCGGGCACATGTTGTCGTCGCCCCAAGAGCATCAGCATTCTCATCATCAAGCACGATTACAGACGCAGAGCAAACCGCCCCCTGTTCATCACAGCAACAATAATAATAATGTAACGACGAATAATAATAATAAGAATAATAACACGGTGAACAGTCGCGTGATAAACCTCGGCACTTCGAACAACTCGGCGTTATTACAACTGTACGCGAACGCGAACGTACCACCACCTAGGTCGTCGACGGTGCCTCGACGATTCGCGTGGCCGAGTCATCTCAGCCACGACGTCGTTCCACCCAGGGTGACACAGTCCAGGTCGATATTCGCACACAACGAAAAGATGGTTTACGGCGACCCGAAAGATATTCTCATCCCTCCAAAGTATCGTCCATCGTTGCAGCGTTTGCAACTCCAGCTGCAACAGATGCACGTGAACCACGAGTCAACGCACACCGGGGTCCTCGATCTGACCCAGAGGTCAAACGACAAGCCGGTATTCCCGAGGCCGAGCCTAGAAATAGTGAAAGTACCTGTAGTGCCGAGGCCTAATCCGTTGAACTTGGAGATGAGGAACTCGTCGGCGATCAAAGAGAAACCAACAGACTACTCGAAACGAAGTACCTTCCCCGGTTACCAGAACGTGCTCGATGGTCGAACGATGGCTTCGAACAACCTGGAGATCACGATCGTAAGTCCGAAACAGAAACATAGTCATATGAACGGGCCGACGTCGCACATGCGGGCACCGAGTCCGTCTAGGAACAACGCGGTACCCGTTCAGAGAAGGCAACACGCGAACGGCAAGTATACGACGAGGAGCGAGCCAGTTTCACCGTACACGCCGAGGAAACCGAGTCACCCCGTTATACCTAACGTACCTAATCTGAACCATTTGAATTGCGTCAATTCGTATCCAAGGATGGCGACGATGCAACAGCAGAACACCATCGACAGGAGAAAAAACGCGGATATGAGCGGTAGTAGAGAGCATCATCAGCACCACTACCAACATCAGCATCATCAGCAGCGTCGAATCAGCGAAGGCGACAAGGCATTGATGAATCAACAGCAACAACAACAGCAACAGCACCAACCACAGCAACAGCAACCGGATGTCAGGCAACCGGATGCCGGCAGACGGCACAGTGTTCCAAGCATACCGTCGGGTTTCGTTCCTGCTGTGCCGCAAAACAATCATCCAGCCTACGTTCCCCAACTGCCAAACACACCCGGCAAGTTCCTACCGATTCTTGACCCAATGTATTATTCCGCCTTCTACAACGGTTTGTTCCCGCCGCCGCCGATTCCGCCCACGGCTGCTACCTCCGCCTTTCTACCGCCAGAGTTCAGCGCGTACTACAAAGAACTACTTGCTTCCTCGCAACCAAGACTGGGGATGACGGGACAGCATCAGCCGGCTGTACCGACGTCTAAATAGACAATTGTGCGATCTCATGCGTGTTTTAGGGTGTCCACCTCTGCGTTTTAGCCAAGTAACGGTGGTTTAATTACACAATTTCTAAAGACATAAGATCCGTCGGGTTTCCTCGCTACGAATTCGTATTTTTCCCGAGGACTTGTTCGTTCTTGCGTCGAGACGGATTGGTGAAACGACACGAGTGGATCCTGCGTGTATTTACGTGATCGTTTTAAGGATCTTTCGGTTTGAATCTTTAATCCTTGCGCACCGTTCGGGTCAAACATTTAATCTACCAGAAATCTATTAACACGGTTCGCTCCTCTAGCACCCGATACCGAGCGAGCTGATTTTAATTCAAAGGTCTTTTTTTTGTGATACGAGTGTAAGAAACATTTGAGCGGTACCCAAGGGTTAATCGAATTCCAATGAAATTCGATTAGCGTACACGCGCATATCTGACTACGCTGTCGCCTATGCTGTTTTTCTAGTTTCGTAGGTTTCTTTTTGTTCTTGTGTTATTTTTTGATACTATCGCGACAGTGTTTGTTCTTTTTTTTTCTTTTTTTTTTTTTTTTTTTTTTTTGTTTCACATTCCTAGTAGCTGCAATAGAGGCACGTGCTCTGCTATGTATCATCGACATCAGACGCTAAATTTTGTTCAACTGTATCATTCTTGCGGCTAATTGACATGCCCATGGAAATTAGTCAGCCTCCTGGGTGAAAAATCGTCGACCCGGCAGTATGTGATCACGACTAATGCACTGCTGATTCTAAGTCAATGTTTATTGCAACAATATTGATATCCATTCAGTATTCAGTTTCTCTTCGGTTTCATTCACAGTTTATATACAGGGGGTTGGGTTAGGGATGGGCATATTTCAGGGGGTGGTGGTCGAGATTATCTCGAACAATTTTCTCCTTTACCAAAATTCTCTGCGAGGCTTAGTTTTTGAATTATTATCAGTGTTTTTTCACTAATAATTCGGAAACCAAATTTTTTCGAGAATTTTGGTAAAGAAGAAAGTTGTTCAGGATTATCCCCTTGAAAGGACACCCACCCGAAACCGAACCCCGTGCATACAAGAAAAAGTACACTGATTGTCGTTGCGTGCTGCTGCTGCCGTGATTATGCAATAAATTAGGTGATAATTTTTTATACGTAACAATAATACACGATGCTTCGTCGTAAGTCGAAACGAACGAGCGACTTTTTTCGCGTGTAACTTTCGTTCTTTTCTTTCTTTTTTTTTTTTTATATACATTTCGAAGAGAGATATTCGACGCTGTTAGAGAGAATAAAAAAAAAACAATGAACGTACTAAAGCACTGTGATAACGATCAAGAAAAAAAGGGAAGAATACAGTTGACTTCTTTTTTTTCATACGTAAAGGAAAAAATACGACTTTTTTTCTACGTTTGTTCTTCACGAACCTTACGCGTATAGCCGCAACGTCGAATACAAGGGAATAATCGAATCGAAATAATAATTCTTTTTTTATATTTCTTTGTTTTTTTTTTTTTAATTTTTAAAAAAAGTCTACGAGAGAAGTTGATCCGTTTCACCGTCGTAGGTCAGAATTCCTTCGTTTCGAACGTGCGATGTGATAACTAAAATAAATATATATATATATATACATAAAGAATAAATAAATAAAGAAAATATATATATGTATATGTGTATATGCGAGATCTTTAGCCGACGGATCGTAAAAACGTATAATTGTTTATTGTATAACGATCACACAATTCTTACGTAGTAATGATCGCGAAAACCCTAATTCTATTGTAATAAGTTTAGTTAAAACAATCAACAAAAAACCATTTTCATCGTACCAACACGTACATACACCACTACAACAAGAAAAGTACACACTGATCTTCAGTAGTCAGCTGTTAAACGAAATAAGTGCACGCAGAAAAAAAAAAAAAACGGTGTAATAGCAACGAGACACATTGTACATAATGTATATAATCAACGTATTCGTTAAGCTAGATAAATCCACCCCCACACACCCTCAACACACCCTTACTACGAATTCCTCTTGCATTATATCTTTCAACATTACGATAAAGAAAAGCGTTTAAGATTTAGTGAAATGTGTACAGGCTGTCTTATTTGAATGGCCAACGATGATCGCATTGCTGAGTCAAGTTTCTTGAGGTGCAAATTTGATATTTCTAAGACACCTTGTACATTCAATCTTTCTTAGGTAGATTGAGACATTTACATCCAAGTATAATTTTTGCACTGTTTAATTTTACAAAAAATCAAGTGGTTTTTTTTTAACTATCTGCATGTAATATAGAGGGTGTTTCATTTATCATCACCTTGAGTATCTTTGTTGTTGTTGGACGTATTAAAAATATTATTAGTAACAATTATATGATTCTAAGAGGTACGCGAAGTGTTATAAAACTACAAAGATATTCAAAGTGACCACCATAAATAAAACCCTGCGAATAAAAGATTTCTTTTTCTAAACAGTAATCGAACATCGTTGGCCATCGACGATTCTGGTATGAAATAAATAAGAAAACTAAAAACGACGTGAGAGAAGAAACACCGATGGGTGTATCGATGTTAAGCGTAGACATATTCATAGAATTTGTTCGTTTTAGGATACTCTGATAACAGGAAAATCACAAAAATAAAATGTCAGATAACGTTTCAAGCATTCGTAATCCTAAGACGTGTACAAGAGTGTGAAAGATGGGAGGAGATCCTTCGCTGGGATCGTTCTTAGTAAAATCAGATTTCTAATATCGATGTCTTTCAAAAAAAAATAAGTTGTTCATGTTTGGAGGTTCATTTACGAAAGAAAAAGAAGTGAAAAAAAGGGAGAGGAACGTGTGTGTGAAGTGTAGAGTTGTTTGCTAACTTATGATCGCGGTTTTTCGTAAAAAGCTCCTCACCCGGCGCGTTCAAAAATTTTCAATTTAATTAAAATTATTCGGAACATGATCAATTTTAATTTTTCATTTGAAATTTTTGTCATTCTTAATTAGAAATATTATTGATATTCATATCATTATTAATAGTATTTGTATTCATTTCAATGCGTTAATTTGATCGTTTCAATATGAAAGAAGAAAAATGATTTATTACAGAAAAATTTCTTTTTCTTTTCTTTTCAAATATTCTATCGATCGTATGGTGCTATGTTGTAAAATATATCTAACGAAGCTTTCTCGTTTTATTTTTGTGCTTTTACTTTCGTTGACAAAAGAAAAACCGTCGGGAATCAGCGGAGACCGTGAACGATACGAAAGAACTACGATCTTAAGGTGTAGATCATCACGTCCAAGTCTGATGAATCGTAAAAGAAAAAAAGACTTCTGATTTTAAAACGTATGCGTGTAAACGTCGTGGTTCGTTGTGTGAAAATCGCGGGAAAAAGGAAGAGTTTCTTTTTCTCTTCGAAACGCGGCAAAGACGAACGAAAAAAAAGGGTGGAAGACAACAAAGTGAAGGGCTTGTGCGAGAATACGTGCCATAAAACTGCTTAGATAGTGACTTTGAAAATCGAACGATAACGATGGTCGTTTGTATGTGCTTTTAAACGAGCCCTTTATCGACTAGAAGAGACTCTAATAATGTGTAGTAAAAAAATTTCAGCGAGAAATGAAACAAAAAAAAAAAGAAAAAAGAAAGAAAGCAACCATCGCAAGTGCAAAATTCCAATACGGAAGTTTTAATTTTTTTTTTTGTTTTGTTACCGTGAATTGTTCATTTTGACGTCGAAGATAGAACGAAGTATATTGGACGAAATGAGTGTGAACGAGTGTACGTGTACGGATGCGCGACTGTGTAAGAAAAAAAAGTAATTACAGAATGATTAATATTCGATGAAAGAAAGAAAAAGTTTATGTTCGTTTATTTTTTCTTTTGTTCTTCTTTGTGCGAGTTTCTCTTCATTTTTTGTACGTATAGAAGTGACTTTTTAGCGTAACCTTCGTTTCCCGATTTAATGATAATGATAATAATAATAATAATAATGATAATAATAATGATTATTATTACGATACAAATATTTTTTATTATATGGGCATTTCAGTTCCTAACATTGGAAATAAAACATCTACTATGAACGATTTTCTTATTGTTCGAACTCGAGCAAGCGTAAAAATGCGATATGTATCGAAAGATTCGCGTGGTTATAAGATCGCTACCATTCCAGGTAAGTAAATTTTAAACAAAAAGGAAATAATTAGCGTGCTTATTTAAAAATGCATTTTAAGGCGATGTAAGCGTCAGTGATTACAGATCTAACAGGATTAGAGATTTCTTTACTTTCAAGAGGTTTTCTTGCAACCCCTGTAATTCTTATAATAAATATATTATAAAACATATATTTATGGCAACTGGTTCGAGTAAAGGTAAGGATAGTCTCATGAGCTTATTTAATAAACAAAGAAAATAAATAAGGTAAGTGAAATAACCAACGGAAAAAAATTAGAGAACAATTATTATACTGGTTGTACCCTGATTTCATTCTGGGGTATCAGGGACCCCGAAGCACTCTTGGCGGTCTGTACATACCGACCTGGTTCCATCTGGGGTGTCTGGGACCCCGAAGCACGTTCACCCTCTCTACATACCGATATATCATTTTGGGGTGTCAAGGACCCCGAAGCACGACTGATAGCGCTCTGTGCATACCAAAGCATACATATACCCTTATTTTATTTTCTACGTTCATTTAAATTGCTGTAATTATCTTCTTAGCTTATTGAATAAACTCTTTAGGTGGACGAATGTGTTGATTTTATTACTTCCGTTTGCACCCTTTACATTTCAGATTCTACTATATCTCTGCATCCTTATATCACTGCATTCCTCACATCACAGCAACCCTTACATCACAGTATTCCTAACAACTCTGCATCCCTACATTCTCTTCAGCCCTACATTCTTTTCATCCCTGCATTCTCTTCATCCCTACATTCTTTTCATCCATACATTCTTTCCATCCCTACATTCCGTACATCGCTTCATCCCTTATATCCCTACATTCCTTACATCTCTTTATCCCTTACATCCCAACATTCCTTACATCTCTTCATCCCTTACATCCTTGCATTCTTTTCATCCCTACATTTCTTACATCTCTTTATCCCTTACAGCCCGACATTCCTTACATCTCTTCATCCCTTACATCCCTGCATTCTTTTCATCCCTACATTCCTTACATCCCTTACATCCCTGCATCCCTTACATGCCTGTATCCTTTACATCCATGTATCACTTATATTCCTGCATTCCATACATCCCACTAAGGCCTGCGATTTTAAACAAATGTAGTACCCTTTTCCGCCACCAGAGGGCGCTGATTCGACATCGAAATTTTAGTTCACATTTTTGCCGCCAGAGGGCCAAAATTGGTGCGTGGTTTAGTTCCTTTTTCCGAAACCAGATGGCGCTGATTCGACATCGAAATTTTAGTTCACATTTTTGCCGCCAGAGGGCCAAAATTGGTGCATGATTTAGTTCCTTTTTCCGAAATCAGATGGCGCTGATTCGACATCGAAATTTTAGTTCACATTTTTGCCGCTAGGGGGCGCTGTTTTTCGAAATTTTCGGGAAATTCTAACTTACCTTTACTTACCTTTACTTACCTTTACTTACCTTTATTTACCTTTACTCGAAGCAGTCTTTATAATATATTTATTATAAGGAATGTAGGGATGAAAAGAGTGTAGGGATGAAAAGAATGTAGGGATGTAAAGAATGTGAGGATGAAAAGAATGTAGGGATGTAAGGGATGAAGAGATGTAAGGAATGTAGGGAGGAAACGAATGTAGGGATGGAAAGAATGTAGGAATTTAAGGGATGAAAAGAATGTAGGGATGTAAGGGATGAAGAGATGTAAGGAATGTAGGGATGAAAAGAATGTAGGGATGGAAAGAATGTAGCGATGGAAAGAATGTAGGGATGGAAAGAATATAGGGATGATAAGAATGTAGGAATTTAAGGGATGAAGAGATGTAAGGAATGTAGGGATGTAAAGAATGTAGGGATGTAAGGGATGAAGCGATGTAAGGGATGTAGGGATGAAAAGAATATAGGGATGTAAAGGAATGTAGGGATAAAAAGAATGCAGGGATGTAAGGGATGCTGAAATATAACGGAACGGGGGATGTAAAGTAATTCTGCAGGGGTTCGGGGCTGGGGCCCCGGTCTCCACTGCACGCGGCCCGAGGAATGCCGGCATCGGGTGTGGCCCCCGATGTCGGCGGAGTTTGGCACATGGCGGAGGGTCAAACCACCCTCCTTAACGCCCTAGTGCAGGCCACCGTGGTGGTTTTAGTGGGTAAAAATCCCACACTACCTCCGGCCCCTCCCCAGGGGGGCTGAAGGTGTCTTTCTGAAGATTTCCACCACGTTAAAAAAAAAAAAAAAAAAAAAAACTTATTTAAGGGTTGCAGGAAAGTAAGAAATGCAGGAATGTAAGGAATGCTGGGATGTAAGGAATGCAGGGATGGAAGGAATGCTGTGATGTAAGTGATACTGAGATGGCCTTGGCCTATAATAAGGGATAAAATTATATAAACAACTGAAAATAAAATAAATGGGGTCCTCAGCTGAGACCCAGAAGGGGGATATAACCATAAATGTTATTCCCCTTCGATGAGGTTATTTAATAAGCAAAAAAAAATAATTGAAGTAAATTAAACAAACCCTGGAAAAAAATTATACTTACTGTGCCCTCTTCATACGGACCTGATATCATATTGGGGTGTCAGGGACCCCGAAGCAACTAGCGAAATATAAGAACGAAAAATGAACAAATCGTGAAACTGACTTGTTTGAAGTAGTGATGGGTACGACAGGATCTGTAGCACATGGGCACTACAATTATTTATTATGAAACAAACTTGTAAATAATTAAGAAGTTATTCACTCACAAACAATGAGAAGGATATATTTGTAAATCACAAACGATTTCCAATCAATTACAGTTATGAGTTGTCACAAAATCTGTTTATCATAAAATATTACTAAAATGTTTCGGCTCACATCATGATTTAAATAAAATTGCTAATTACAAAAGAATTAATTTGTCACAAATGTTACAAATAGACTCACAATCAAGCACAAACGATTTAGAAACGAAATACACTAAGATAAATTAAAAATAATCATATTTCATTATTCCTTCCGGCTAGCTTCATGTAGGTTACTAAAATTGTATCGTCGCGGGGTTCTAAGGACCCCGAAGCACCGGGGATGCTGCATACTAAAAGTATCTGTCGGGGGTTCTAAGAACCACAAACAGCAACGAATCTGTATACCTAAATTATATTGTCTCGGGGTTCTAAAGACCCCAAGCACCGACAATTTATATACCTAAATTATACTGTCTTGGGGTCCTAAGAACCCCGTGCACCGACGATTCTCTATGCCTAAATTATATTGCCGTGGGGTTCTAAGAACCCCTTGCACCGACGACTCTGCATACCTTAATTATATTGTCTTGGGGTTCTAAAGACCCCAAGCACCGGCGATTCTGTATGCCTAAATTATATTGTCTCGGGGTTCTAAGAACCCCTTGCACCGACGATTCTGGATATCTAAATTATATTGTCTCGGGGTTCTAAGGACCCCAAGCACCGACGAATCTGTATATCTAAATTATATTGTCTCGGGGTTCTAAAGACCCCAAGCACCGACGATTCTGTATATCTAAATTATATTGTCTCGGGGTTCTAAGGACCCCGAAGATCAGTTGATTCTGCATACCGACATTATGGCATCTGGGGTGTCAGGGACCCCGCGGAAGTAGCGAAATATAAGAACGAAAAACAAACAAATCGGGAAACTTACTTGTTCGGAATAGTGATGGGTTTGACCGGATCTAGCGAAATATAAGAACGAAAAACGAACAAATCGTGAAACTAACTTGTTCGGAATAGTGATGGGTTTGACCGGATCTAGCGAAATATAAGAACGAAAAACGAACAAATCGTGAAACTCACTTGTTCGGGGTAGTGGTGGGTTTGAACGGATCTAGCGAAGTATAAGAACGCAAAATGAACAAATCGTGAAACTCACTTGTTCAGGATAGTGATGGGTACGACCTAATTCGATCATGGGGTGTGTGGGACCCCGAAGCACTACTGGTCGCGTTTTGTGCATAGCGAATTGATTACATCCTGGGGTGTCTGGGACCCCGTGGCACCATTGATTCTGCATGACATATCATCCTGGGGTATCAGGAACCCCGAAGCACTACTTGTGGCGCTCTGTGCATACCTACCTGATTCCATCCGGTTGTGACTGTGCAGAAGGTTATGTGGTTTTTAAAGATCGAATTTAAGACTACTTTTTAGGAAGTAAAATTAATGTATAATGTTTGCAGTTAAATTATTGTATAATGCTTTAATGTCACTTTATTAACTACAGACATACTTAAACCGAAATACTGTTAACCAATCTATCCACACCCTCCATAAACTTTTCAATATTCTCTACATTCAGAACACGTTTTTCTTATGCTGCCAGGGTATATAACTATAAAATAAATTAAAAAGTTTGCAGCACCATATAGTTTGCGGCACATAATCGGTGCGCCAAAAAGGCTTAATAATTACAAAGAACAAAGCCCGAACAGTATTGAGATACTGTAGGAGTTCAAGAATTTTCTTTCCTCCCATTAAATATGGGCAAAGAATCTTAATTGAGCATATTCTCTTATTCGTTTCTTCTTTCTTTCACTCTTTCACTTTCTTTCATAATTTTTCATACACTTGCATTCACACTCAAATATCAAGGTAGCTAAGGATTAACGATACATGTAAATTGCAATTAATTAGCTTTCTCTGGCGAGCTTTAAGTATCAAGGTCTTATGAAAAAAAATGCAGCAAATGCTAAAAGACGTTTGCGAAAGTTCTGATCTTAGAGTCAAAGCTTTGATTGCTTCTTTTCAAATTCTGAAAGAAAAATTCATTCCTCGCATCAGCTGCATTTTTTCCTAATCATTTACAGCCATGAATATTTTACAGAATGTGCAATGATAAAAACAACAATTATACAATAACAGATCCCTAAATGATATATATGAACGAATTCATTAACATTTGTAATTAAATATTTTGCCGCTTCTACTTTGAAATAGTTGCAGCGCTTGTGCGTAAATCCTCCGCACGATAATCGTGCATCCAAATAAAAATATGAACAGCTGCAATTACGAGAGTAATATGCACTAGATCCAAGCGAGGGTTCAAGGATCAAATTGGTTACGAACAAATTAAGTTTCGCAATATTAATATATATCACCATGGTAAAAATGAACAAAACAGACTTTAAAGGAAGTGCAAGTTAATCTTTCTTGAAAGTAGAAAACGCAAGGTACGTCTCCTTCATCTCTGCTCCATTCTAGTTTGAACCCTCTCGAACAGAAGCATATAAAATCGAAGAATTATCACACGCTAACGTTCAACAGCGTTTCGGATAAATTCGTCGTTACCGGGACCTTACAATTATCACCTACTGTTTTTACAAATATGCGCAGCAATTCGTTTTCTAATTCCTGTGAAAAATACCCAATTCGTACGATAGTTTCTGGTTTAATCTTTGCGGTTCTCGCTAAACAATCGCTAATTAAGAAAATTTCAAGTGGCACTAGTCGACAGCTGCCCGAGTAAGTATTGTTTGCTGACTAGAATTCATTTCTTTCTCATTAAACGCAACCTCCTCTTTGTTTCATCACGCGCCCCTGACAAATCGTCTTACAAAACATCGAGACTACATTATAGAAAAGCTTAGAAACAGAATTCCATGCGATTTTCCTGGATATATCGGAGACACATCGCGTGTCTTTGTCGGTAAAATCTACGCTTGATCCTAAGCAACGCATTGATCGAGTGCAATAAGCACACTGCTTCCTTCCTCTCCTCTGATATCGTTCACCATTCCGTTATCATATACATATAAAAACTCGGTTCGAATCTTACTTAATGACCCGAACAACGTTATGCATTCGAAAGCAATAAGGTGAAACCACGAATCTTTTGGATGACCTTGAACAACGGTGCTATTTATGACAAACCATCGATTATTTAACAATTATTCATTTTATCTTTTAAAGCCGATACTTTGAAATTCGATACACAGCTAGTATTAAAATAATAAAATACCAATGGCAAATGGAAAGAAACGTTAATTAAATTGTTAAAACTGCATATAAATCCTTTGGAGCAGAAGGTTTTAATATTTAAAAAGGATACTCGAACGTAAATCGAGAAGAATTTCGTATCACGAGGCAAATATGTACAAACGATCCGAGTAATGCTAGTGGTAGCACACAACGTCGTTAGATGCATTATGCATTTACACGCGTTCCGTGAGATTTCGCTGCTGATCATGCACTTCGTAGTGCGAGGACGATGTTCGGTCTTATTCCTTGATGCGATCAGCAGCCGGTCCTAAATTTCATGCCACCTTCTTCTTGCTTGTCTTCTTGCTGCGGGGGAGGGTAGCGAAGCTGGTTATCTGAAAAAATAAAACAGAATATTAGAATAGGATATTTATCAAATAAATTGAACTTTGAAGTAGAAGCGTTAAAACATCTCACACGCCACGCTTAGCTTTAAAGAAAGTTGCTTTCACGAGAAAACCAATTTTTGCATCGATGCATCTTTGTTGTGAAAGCAACGACTAATTTACAGGCACACGAAAGTATTCAAAATTGATATATATATTTTCTTTTCTAATAATAGTCTACTCTATCTGTAATCCTTCGTCAACCTGTTGCTACTGTTCTGTTAGTGATGTCACAACATGCACACCCAAGGAGCACAATAGGGAGTACCACTCGTTAAGCAATTAGTGATTTATCAAAGATAATCACAAAACACTCTAGAAATCATTTTCATACGATCTGAACGAATCGATCCGTTTCTCTTCTCCAGATATCCAGTATGGTAACGTGATTACAAAGAGTGAGGAGGGTGTGGAAGGATCAATGACAAGGGGTTTATTTAATTTGCCTATAGAAAACCAGTCAAACAGACCCGTCTAACTCTTAATTCTTACACTCGTAACATCAACGAAAGCTTCTTAATAAATATCTGATTCCAATCTTTTCCCAGCTTTAGGTGACCGAGACATCTCTCTGATCTGTGATTCCGAACTCATCGTCGCAGGTGGTTTATCCTCGTTAATCTCAGCTTCCTTCGCTTCTTCTTTAACTTCGTTCACCTCATCTGCATCGTTGTTCGCCGCTAGAACATAACTGTCCGAACTGTTCGACGTATCGTCAGTTTGCAAGTTTATCTCTCGATTCGAGCTCGAATGCTTCGGCGCTAATTCGATGATCGTATCCTGCGATTCGATGCTGTTCGATCTGGATTCGGAGATATCCGAAACGGAGTCCTCGGACTTGGCCGAGCCCTTCTGTTCTTTAGAAAAAGCACTGTGAAAGATATTTTTCGGGATCGTCAACAGTTTCGAGAAACCATCTTTGGTACGTTGTCTCTTGGACTTCTTCCCTTTTGGCTTCGCATCTGAAACGTGAGCAATGAACACGTCTTTCGTTGAGCTAGTATTCGAGAACGTCTTTAAAGTCCCAGTTTTGATGACCAAAGTGGCTTTTAACGCGTTCTGGGAATCAGTTTCCTCCAGGTCTTCCTCGCTTTTTGTGAGGGGAGCCTTCGGCGCCGGTTTCTTCTTGTATTTCCCTGCTCTACTCGCGTTCGAGGATGTCCAATCGTCCACGCACGAGGCGTTCTCGTTCTCTGAAACGTCCTTAATAACTATTAAATCTGTTGCCTCTGTAGATACCTTAACGTCTTCGGTATTCTCCACTTCCTTGATATCCACATTCGACGACGAATCTTTTTCAGGTACGGTTATCTCCGTGACACTCGCTTCTTGAGTGTGCACGATACTGTTAACAGCTTTGCGGGCATCACTGAGAAGCTGCTTCAGTTCGTCGAATTTATTCTGACACAGCTCGTCGCTTACCGTGCGATTCGAATCATCGACGGAATCTTCAGGAGCTGTCGATGGAACGTCTGTAATCTTAGCTTCAATTTCATCGTCTTTTAATTTAATCTGTTCTACCTGTGCATCTTTATTTATGCTACTTATAGGCAACGGATGTTCAGCGACAGTTTTCGTTTCTATACTCTGAATAATTTGCACCTCCGCGACTGAAACGGGCTCGATTGATTCCGATTCCTTTCCACATAATTGCGGGCCTGATTGACTGGTATTTTCGAGCGAATGATCGTTGTTACCTGCGAGAAAGGGGCCACGATCGAGTTTGATATAATCAGCAACATTGCTGTTTTGCGAGAGCAGAAGCAAGATCTCGAGAGCTTGTTCAGGAGTCACGCGAGTCAAAGGTGACGGAAATGAGATGTTTGTGGAGGAATGAGGATCGTTGCCGTCGGTATCCTCTCCTGAGTCCTTCGGATTCCATAGAAAACCGATAAATATATTATAGAAATCGACGAGAAGCGACGAATCCGCGAAAAAAACGATCGAGTTTGAACGTCGAATCAAAGTTTAATAAGGAGCATTATTTTTAAAATGAATTTACAAACGTCCGATTAAGCCTTGATTCGCGTTTTTGTAGGAATTAAGCTGGTCAAATTTTTACTACCTCTGTGGTCTTCTTCGTGGCAGAGCGAGGTTTTGCCCGTGTTCTTGCACCGACGCTCGACGTTCGAACTAACGAGTCACCCTGCAACGTACGAGTGGATTGCAGCGCTTCTCCGCTACTGTAACCGCTGGAAATATCGTCCGAGGACCTTATATTACTGGAATGAAACGAACGTGAATTTCCAACAATTACTTCTCGAAATATTGCATCGATGTAACAGGGGAAATTACGAAATGTACGTACGTTAAGCTAGCCGTTGGTTCCCTGGATCTCGGCTGTCTGACATCCACATCCACCTCGGAGAAGTACATCTCCACGCGGTTGCTACTCGACTGCGTCCGACGAGGACTGTAACTTCTTCTCCCGACGTGTTCCCTTCGACGAGGCTCCACTGGAAAACGTAAACGTTCAATGCGGATCTTAAAACGCGTACTGGTTACGCGTACGATTATCATTGCCCTAAGGTAAGATCGTGCTATTGAAAGACAAAGACGTTTCGAAATTTGCAAGAATTGGCAAGCGGTATAATCGGCCAATAACCTTCCATGTCCGTCTCGTCGTGCATGTGCGGCGTGTTTCTATTCTCGTCCTCCTTCTCGCCGGTCAGGTCGCTCAGGCTGTAGCTTTTCTTCAGATGCTGCACCAAACCGCCACCACCCTGAAAAATTAATTCCCGGTATTTTTCAAGGTGTCCAAGAAACGCGATCGTTCGATTTTTATAGTTGAATCGTTTGTTTAGCCCCTTCGTTACGGATTGCATTATTCTGAGGAAACTTTGGTGCCTACTGTAGCGGCTATAGTCTCGAGGAAGGGTTGCTACATTAACGATACTAATAACTTTTACTATAGTTTACTAACCGTCCCGGTAAACGGTTTCGTAACGAAAGGGTTAAACAGCGAGAGTGCGAATCGACATCGACGGAGCGCAGTGTAGAAGTAGAACGAAAAAAGGAAAGCGCCGAGAGAATGGTAAAAAAGAAAAAGAAAAAACTGAAACTCTTACCAACCCGGAAAAAAGGTGTTAATGTGTTATCAGCCGTCAGTGGAGCGCGTGTACGATCTGTCCTATGTGTAGTTAGCGATCGAGCTAGGACCCCCGTGTTCGGCAATTCATACACGTTTTCTCGTCCCTCTTGTCTATCAGGATGCGATTCTTCCCTTTTTTTTTTGCACACACTTTGGCCACCGAGTCAACTAGCTAGCGTTCAACGATAGAGCTGGGTTCTCTCTATCGACTGGACCAACTCGTTCGACAGCATTTTGCCCGACACGAAGAGAAGAGGAATCGATAATCCCGCGTTTTCCCGCGAAAACGGAGAAAAGGGAGCAAATTTTTATCGGTTGGATACGTTTATTCGAAAAGAAAGAAAAAAAAAATCAAACATATCGTCGTGCTATTATCTCTTAAAATCTTTGGGATCGGATATAAAATCGTCTTACTTATATAATCTAAGATGTTCTTTCATCCGGTACGAAACTTTGGTTCCACTGGAACTGTTCCTCTTCCCGTGCTAACGTTAAACAAAAATGTTCTATTCAAATTAAAAAACAAACGAAAAATGATCTGATCTTCGAAGTGTATTATGAACGGGAGAACAGTTTCCTCGTGTTACATCTCTCAGTGGTCGTTTCTTTCGCAGTTGTACCTTGAAAACACTACAGATTTGTGCGGAAAGGTACTAAGATCATACATTTCGTAAGCAAAACGTGTGACGAGATAACAGGTGTGCCATTACCAATTCTTTGTGAAAAATTATTTTATATCCATGCTATCGTATCAATAAGTCATCCAGTTATCTCAGCACACTACAGTCTTCAACTCTTTCTTTCGACTTTCAGCGCAATCGTAATTCGCATTAAAGATTGTCCTTAACTATTTCCTAGCTCTTTACCTACTATAAAACAGAAGTGCTCGACAGTTTATTTAAAGCTGAAAAGGCTGAACGATCCAGGCGCTAGAAATCGGCGACTATATAAAATACAAGTTCGTAAAAAGTTATATATAAAACTAAGAAAACATCATCGTACAAAGAGAATAATTTCTTGCATTAATACGAAAAAGAAATCGAAAAAAAGGAAAAGAAAAATTGATAAATTTATTCCGTCAAAATGTATGTCGATAGACTAAGATTTGTCGAGTCAACGATACGCAACGAAATTTCTGTTCCTCGTTAGAAATCCCGTCAAAAGGCACTGAGTTTCTTTCGCATTCGCTAAAACTACTTTGAGCTCGCAGCAGTAGAAACGCATTAGACTACCCTTAAAACTATCAACGTAATCCTAAATAGTATAACAAAGTATATAAATCGCAGACATTGCGGAAAGACACACAGTTATTAATTTGATAAGAATCATCTAAACGCTATTCAAGAATTCAACCACCAAGCTTTGTTTCCTTCTTTTATCGCCAAGTTGTTCCTCGTGAATCCTACTGATAAAAGAAAAGAAAAAGAAACTCACTTCACTAATTTTCAAATAATTAAAACGAAAGGGATCCAGCCAGGAAAACACCATCTTTTATGGTGGTGCTATTTTGATATTCCAGTAGAATCTCTTAATAATAAATTTGTTACCAATTACGATCAAGGGAATCTACGGCTTAATACAAACGCACACACTGAATACTAATCTTTTGTCTATCCAAAAATAATAAAAAAAAGAAATAAAGTAAGGAACGTCGCGTTGATTATTATAACGGGTCGTTTCGAGGAAAGTAATCAATCATCATCGTCGCTGTATTTAAAGTACACCATGGTGCTTTGGTGTGTCTTAGATCTGAGCCATTTGTCGTGAGACGAGGCAGAGTGGTGTCTAGCCACGCGCGTCCTCTTCTGTTGCCCCTGCCTTTCCTGCATTTCCTCTCTTTCCTCCTCTTCGAACAATCTTAACTCTATCATATCCTCGTCGCAGTCCGTGCTGCTGTCCGATGCGCTCAGCATCTCTCGATCGAGAAGAAGCTCGTGATGGCTAGTGGTGGAGCTCTGATCGGAGTTCGCGATTTCGTCCAGCTGACCGTCCAGCTGATCCGCTACCCTCTGCGAGGTCGAGGCTGGTACAGGTCTGGCCGAGCTAGAAACCCCCGAGGCCAATTGAGCGCCGCTCGTTGATGGTTCGTTTGGCACGTTTGCATTCAACTGCCGGAAAGGCTGAATCGCCCGGGATGCAATCGTTGACATTGTATTGATTTTGTATTTTTTTTTTTTTTGGTTTGTACATGTATGTGACCGTCGTGGAGCGTTTGTTTGATATATACAGGTTGAACACACACGATGGACAGACGGATGGAAAACGCACGCGCGCGCACACACAGCCACGCATACGTACAACGGTGATGGTATTATAATTTTACTAAGCGACGATGTTTGTTAAAGGGACCCGAGATGACGGTCGTCGATGGTTAACGGATGTTTCGTGATGATGTCGACGTCGGTGTTTTTTTTAAATTTTATTTTTTGTTTTTTGGTTTTGATTAGACGGCGTGCAGGATAGGCGTGCGGGGTGAACGAAAACATAAAATCAAGAAAAAAAACATCGAATGATTAGCTAGCTGGTGGTGGGGGACGATTGTCAAAAGCTGTTATTGAAGCGAGTTTACGATTTGAAGTGCAAACGATTTGTGAGATCAATGGGCTTTACTGCACCGTTGTATGGATGGGTGTTTAGGTTCGAAAAATTTGAAACTTACCTTGATGGCGGTTTGCATTAGCACGGTGGTGGCGTAATTGACACCCTTGGTGCCGAGGTGTAACACCGCCGTGTAACCTTGCTCGGTTGCGCGAGCCAAAGCGTCGTCGATCTCAGCTTCGCGCCGGATCAAGGCTGGGTGAACGAACCGCCGGTACAGGATGCTCGAACCTTTCGTCGCTGGGCTTAACAGCCATACTACTAGGATCGTCTTAATTTCATAATAAAAGGGGAACCTAAGGGAGAAAGAAGGAGAAAGCGTCGTTACGTTCGCGTCGAATCCATCGGGGACCGTCTCTTCTGTCGTTAGAATACAAATGTCCTCTTTTTTTCGAACCAGGAAACAGGCGTGAAACGCGTGACGCACCGGTGAACCGCGAAGAAGGAAGAGGAAGGGGAGCAGGAAAAAAAGGAAAAATCGTGACCATTGGGGTAGTCGGAGAGTTCAGGTAACGACAGATAGGAAAGGAGAAAGGAGGAGAGGAAAACAGCAGGGTATTCCCGGCTAGAAATACACGAGTAACCGTGGTGCTCTCTTTTTTGGTCGTAACCCGAGTATGAAGGGAGAGAATCTGGCACAGCAGGGAGGAACAGCAGAGACGGAAGACGAAAATGCTGGCAGAATCCTCAGAAGTGCATGTAAGCCAATATCCATCCCGGCCGAAATTAGACTTTCGGAATTCCCGTTGGTGAGCCACGGACCGCGCGAGCGGGTTCGCCGCGGTTTATTGGCCCCGGCCAGCCCGAAATTTCACTCGCTTCCGGCGAGAAAAGGGTGCCACGACCGATCCGCCGGCGCGACTTTCAACCCCTTCACCCTCGGGCTACGGTGGAAACGAAATTCTACGATTCATTGTTCTCGCGGGGCATGCTATTATCGCGGATCCACTTTCGAGAGATGATAACAATTAGAAGCATTTTAATATGCATCGCTCACCAAAAGCTGAAGAATACGTCTGTGAAGGTTTCCGCGCAAGTGAACAGCGCGAATACGATCCAATACATCATCCATTTCACCTGAAAATGTAAAAATACCAAATGCTCAACACGTGGATTCTATGTGATTATGTAAAGTGCAACGTTCTTCCAAACGAACGTTTCAATTTTTAATCAAAAAGCCTCGATAAACATTTGCCGAGCAATGTTTGCGTAGGAAACGATGTTCGATCGGGACGATGTTATCGGTTACATCGAACTTGCTCGAGCTAAACTCCCCTATTAATTAGGATCGTCAAACATAATCGTTTCTAATGGAATGGAATATCAGTACTTTTCTCAGCGTGTGCTGTGTCGGTTCTGCATCGACGCTATCTCTGTATACTCACGTATTCCTTTACATTCTTCGTTCTAACCGCCTTGTAGGATGCGTAGGCCGGGTATAAATTGCCGAAGACTAATCTGAAAATTGGATATAACAGAATGTAAGTTAGAGGTCTGGGCATAAGGATAACCAGCAACGCGGCCAGGATTCGCAGCCGATCCAGGGTCATTCTCTTTGGGACTTGGTTCGCGCAGTATCGAACGCAAGAGAGCAAGCTTTCGGCGAATATTCGACGGGCACCGCTTTTACAAATCATCCAATCGAACGGATTTTCATCGAGATCGTCCATTCGAGGCTCGTCCGTTTTCGTTTCCATTCCACTTCGAACCACTCCTCTCTGCCTAGGATCTTCTCTCGGATTCGCTAACGATTCGCGATTTATCGAGCCGCTTCGAACGTTTTTCGATGCTCGTCGTCGTGGTCGATACGATTCAACGCATCAAACTGTAACATCAAACGATAAATTTCCTTGAATATCAATCTTATTATCTCGGAGTCTTCTTTGAAAGAATTGCTTACAGATTCGAAGAAAAGATCGTGCCTGAGAGAGGTCGAATTCGGAAAGGCCACCGTCGACTCGTGACTCGTTGGAAGATCGTGCAACGATCGATCGGTTAACGATGCATGAGGACGAATCAAGAATTTTGACTCGATCGAGGAAAATTCCACGCATCGGCTCCGATTCGATGCACTTGTTGCATCGTTCCTCGACCGACAGAATTGATTCGTTTCGACGAAAGAATCGCACTGACTGGCTCGGCACTGTCCGATCGAAAGAGATTCTTCGTCTCGATGAGTACGAGGAGGTGGCTTGTTCCGCACGCGGATGCTTCCAGTTAAAGACTAAACGCGTATAGCTACGCGTTCTGCCGGCGTCGCGTCGCCTGCATCGGCGATCTACAGACTCTATTTTCGCGTCTTAAGGCGCTGTCGCGTGATGGAGCCACGAAATCGAGCCAACTTACAGCCTGGAAGTGATAACAACGAACCGCTCCGCTTCTGGTTCAACGAACCAATTCTGAAGAATTATTATTTAAGCGTCTAGGCGATGTTTCTAAACGTCTGGCTGACTGTGTTCTACTCTTTCAAGTTCAAGATCGCACATTGAATACACCGCGAGACTGGTTGAAACGGATAGATGGAGGATCGCATCGCGGAACGAGCTTCTTCCAACGAGAATCGCGCGAAACTACAGTCGATTGCGCTTAGCAGGTAATTCAATGATTGTCACCAATGTCATTGTCATAGATTGCGTAACAGGGCGTCCTTTGTGCGCAGTCGGTGGATACTATTCGCGTGTTAACAAGCGTTACGCGTTGAAATTCTTTTTTTACATCCATTTCGCGTAGATTCTGCGGTCGATCGACATTTGATAAGTCCTTGGCAGAGGACGTGTAGGCAAACAGCTGTTTAACCTTCCTATTACGATTGTGTAACCTTAGGTTAATCAAGTAATTCAATTAAAAGCATGTGGAAGAGACCTCTTCAGGGAGAAACGCTAACGGCCCGGATACTTCGGTGAACCTACGAGCACTAGTCACGAAATTAGAATACATACCGGGTCAACCAGTTCAGAACCACTACACGCAGCTGTGTTTATAAATACCAGAGGCTACGAAAGTTTGCCGGAATTTGTAACGAGTAATCTTAATCCATACGCTGATTACCGTTCGATTAACAGAAATTTTTCGTTGGGTATAAATAGAGAGAGGTTCGCAACGGAAGTCGAAGAACAGTTATTGTTTTACAGATTGTCGAAAGGAAATTTACTTCCCCATTGTATTCTCGCGAGAGGTCTCGATGTCGTCGGGTTACGACCATTGTACCCCGATTAAATTCGAAAACGAACAGCCAAGTTCGATGCAAACTCCCCTCCCGATTCCAACGTTTCGCCACGAACAAAACCAAAAAACAAACCGGCAAAATGTTTTCTTTTCATAACAAAATGCATTCATACGGGGATTAAAAAAATAAGAGAAAGGCGGAAAATCTGGAACGAGTATTTTCATCTCGCGGAACGCAATTATTTCCCGTTCTATTTTTCAAACGTTCCGCGCGGAAATATGAAAAAAGCCCCATTCGAAATGATTACTTTCGTTTCAACAAACTTTCCTGGAATCCCCGTCGGTCGATAGAGAAAATCCTTGCTCTTGGTGCGCGAAAAAAAAATGCGTCCATTCTGGCGCGAACCGCGTGCACTTTTCTAATTAAAGCAGCCTCCGAAAAAGAAAAAAAAAAAACAAGATAGAAGAGAGAAGAAGTAAAGATGCGACGAGTTTCATTCGAAATAGGGTTCGATAACGGGAATACGTGTTCGATACTCGCGGCAAGAGGCAGCAACTTTTCATCTGGCTTCAGGGTCGACCCAGTTTTCTATTTTAATCGTGGCCCTTCTCCGGAGCCACAATTTCCCTCGGGTCCCTCTTTATTATCTCTTCTCCATTAATTAAAACTCCAACGGATAGGAGGATCGCGATTAACGTTTTTTCTCCCCTCGTCTCGTTGAAACGTATCGGTTCGCGTATTCGAACGAAACTCGTGATCTGTCGCTATCGTATCGAGAACGATTCTATGTTAACTTTTCACGAGCAAACGAGCGATGGCTAGCGTGCACGCGGTGTAGCTGGCGAGCTAGACCGATTCATTTGGAGCGCTAATGAGCAAGGGACCGACGAAAACATCGTAACGAGGGCGTGTCCGGTTATTTTCAGACGAGGACGAAGAGCATCAACCCGATCCCGAGCTATCTAACGTCAGATTGCTATGTACATGATAAAGAACGAGCTCGACGCTTGAAAAACTGCAACAACGCGATATATTTAGCTCGACGTTAATCTGCAGCTTCTTTAGACCGATATTTTCGGCGATTCCGTGCCAAAACACTCGACGAGTCTCAACGTTAATGCGTTTTATTCGAGTGAGAGATCTCGTTTCTTTCTTTTTTTCGGGGGTGGCCGAAAAATGTAGCCTCAACTCCATCGTCTTTGGAACTTTTCCAAACTCGCCGAGTGTCGTTTGACCGAGGATCTTTGAAATTGCAACGAAACACGGCGAACGATGCGTTCTACCGAGCCTGCCAGCTCATCATCCTTGAAGACGTCCCGTTTATCCGATCTTTTGTTTCTAGCTGTTGATAGAAACTTTAATAGGAAAAGGCAGAATCGTAAAACTCTTATTCAGAATTATACTGCTCCTAATCTCAAAAATTAGCCGGATCTTACGTTATTGCTAGTATTAAAAACACTTAATAACTTTCACCTTCATGGCGATGATTTATGTACATGCGCGAGATATTTCCACGTCGCATGTAAACGGTCGCTTAATTACGAAGATTAATGGGCGCGACAAGGAGTCATGCGGGTAATCCATAACGGTGACGCGATGAAATCGACGTCGAAGGACTCGGGGAACTTGGACGAACGAGGGACCAAAGAAAGTCGAAAAAATAATAATTCTCCTCGTTTGGTTCACCGTTCCGATCGATTTATTGCTGCTTTCGATACAGTAGATCCCCCGTGTAACATGATGCAAAAATTGTGGCAGTGTACATATGTATAGCACCCAGGAGTGTCCTAATAATTCATTAAATGTATACACTTATTAGTCAATGTATCCGCATATTAATTTCATAGATAAATGTAGAACCTTCGCCAACGAATTCGCTGGATACATTGATTAATAAACGTATACATTTATTCAATTATTACTCTTACATGTTATTATATGTTTTACGAATAAAAATTAACGATAAAATAACGCGGTACATAAATGACGTACATGACTTTCTAATTGAGACGCTGGTAGCGAAATTGTCGCGATATTCTCAGTTGATTAGCAAATGGTTATTTATCTTTAGCAACGCGAAACACGCCGACTTTCCTCAATTCTTACGCAATGAAATCTTCTAAAATTACGAGCAACGCGTGTACCGCCTCCGTTTTACCTTACGTCGAGACAAATGGATAGAAACGATAACATATTCGCTAACACTGAAAATTATAGTATCGTCTTGACTGTGTATAATGAAATTTATACGACTGCTCATTCTTACGTTCCGGTCGCTATCTTTAAAGGAGATGGCAAAAATACCACGGACACGGTGTTCACTGTCGAGACGCGTTTAAAAACTGGCAAATGAAAATTTCGCGAATAGTAATTCACCACCGTGGGCACGGCCACTGGTGTGGTACCTTTCAAAGGGCAAGTCATAATGAAACTTTAAATTTGAAATCAAAAATCAATTTCTACAGATACGAGATCTATCTTACGTAATCGACTTTCGCTTACTGGATTGGTACTTAACCTTTGCAACAAAACTAATGGACAGAAGAGTTCGATAATCACGACGAAACGATAATGGGTTAAATTGTATGTCTCGTACACAATAACGATCGCTATTGTAACAGCGGTTCTTGCTTCCTTTCGAATGAAACGATTGAAACGTTGCCTTGCAACTGGTACAACATTGGCCTCAATCGCGAGAACCGTTCATCAGCTGATCGATAGATTAGTCACTGTACAAAAGATGTTCTTGCGATCTTGCAGATATCTTTAACCAGCTCTTCGAAATATCTCGCAAGTTTTGGAAACGAATTCTTCCAGACAAATTTGTCGAGTTGGTGTTTTTGACTTCGCTTTAGGACACGAATCGCTTTCTCTCGACCCGGTCGATTGGTTTTTCTGATTCTAAGCTTGCACGTACGACCGGTCCCTCGTGATTGTCACGCAGACCGACGTCGTTCCGGTGCAACGACCAGCTAAGCGATTCAACTAACGTTTTCTAAGTGGCGGACTCGAAGGAGCGGTTCCTTTCTTGCCGTGGTTGTCTCCCTTTCCGACTATTTTTCTCCGATCCCTCGGGATCTTCGCTCGTCTTTCGTCCCTTGACAAAGATGAATGGCGCACGGTATTCCGCTCGCGAACGAATTAATCAGTCGCCACCGTCGAGTTTCGGAAACTTTGAACCAGAGAAAAAAGAGAACAGGAAGGATTTCGTCTGAACGGTTCGTGGAATAAAGGAGAATCTTCCGTGAAGTATGAAATGTTGGTGAAATTCAGATGTAAAACACGATGACCCCGTCGCTAAGGTAGATCGTAATGCGATATCTTTGTCTTACGTTCGAAGACATATTTTGCACGAAACTACTAAAACGTTCCTATAAACACCTTTTTATAAACCGATCAACTATTCTTGCATCGACGGCAAGAACATTCGTTGAGAAATCGCAAGGAAAATCAAGGTTATCGAATATCCAGTCTCTTCGTAGGCTCTCAGTTTCTCGTGTTTTCTGATGAAACTTCTTGAAAAACTTTTTACTCCCCCGGGTGATAATCAAAGCCTCTTGCTACATCGCGAAAACACGAGCTCCGATTTCTACTTGCTGCTATACAGACTTCTCCGGATCGAGTTGGCTGAACTTTTGGATGAGTTTCGAACTATGACCACCCTGAGTGCCGATTGAAAATTTCCCACCACTTTCTCGTTTGGGAGGTTCAAAAAAAAAATCTCTGATACTCCAATTAAACTCTCTCGATTCAGGGATTTCGCGTCGATTGTCTTGAACGGTGAAACCATTCGGAAATTTCCAATCGTTTAAACGCTGCTCCTTTTAGCACCGATCCACTCGATTCTTCTCACAAATGATTTACGACTTTATAATTCTCGATTCTGCTCCAAGGTGTTTAGAAAACGGATCCCTGGCCAAATTCCTCCTCGAAAATCGTCGAAATGCTGGGTTGATGGACGATCCACGAGAACTGAACTCGCGTTCGTTTAAGCACGAGGAGACCTTTCTAGCTAGCCTTTCGTCGGATGTATGTTCCACGAGCGTCGCGACGCCCAAACTGGAAGCTGGCCACTTCTGCGCTTCGGTTTATATTTAAACAGCGGAGAGTAGCGGACGACTACAACGTCGAAACGCCGTTCTTTCGACGGAGAGAAAAAGATCGTCGGCGAAAGAAGGCGAAAATCCAAAGGGAACAGTCATACAGAAATACCAGACGAAAAAATAAAGAAAAGAAAGAATCAGAAGGGGAAAAAAATTTAGCACCACTCGAGACGAAAACATCGACGGACAAAAGTTTCAGATTTACCAAAAGCGTTTCGCTTTGTGATTGAAAAATTGAAACAAAGGAAGAGTTTCCATCGCAATAATGATTCTACGCGTTCTTCGTTGTTGAGATTTATCTCTAATACGGAGAACTACCCAAGTGTTACACTCACTTATTAATGAAACTTTGCCAGCTTGTGGAGCTCGTCGAGCTGAACACGCCTATACCCCCTTTTGGGGGCAGACGGCTAATTGTTTAAAAGATATTAACAATTACAGTTAGTAATTACATTCTGAAGTATGACAAAGTCACACATACAACTCGTAATCTAGAGATCCACGGTTCAAATCCTTAATTCTCAATATTTTTTTCTTGTTTTTAATGTAACTTGTCTCTTTTTGAATAACTATTACATAAAAAATATTATTAAAAAAAAAAAAAAAAAAAAAAATAATGTTGGGAACCAAGGATTTGAACCGAGGACCTTTAGATTGCGAGTTGTGTGTTTAACCACGGAGCGGATCCATGACTTGTAATCTGAAAGTCCTCGGTTCAAATCCTTGGTTCCCAACATTTTTTTTTTTTTTTTTCTTTTAAATAATAATTTTAGTTCCCCTGTAAGGTTCCAAAATATTTAACCAAACTTTTACCGAGCTGAAATATAAAGCTTCGAAGTGGAAGAAGAAAGCACACACGTGTTGTTAGGAATGTTGGGAAATCCGTGCTATAAAAGACACGCGAAACATGGATGGCGGTGAATCGCGGACCTCCCACGCGGTTCGCGCTCAACTTTCTCGAACGTGGCCAGCTTGCATATGCCAACCGAACTTTTAACAACTCGTATCCCGCGAAAAGAGATTTCAATTCAAATAATAAATTTGCAACCTGCGAATTTTCTCTCGCGTCCCTGAAACAACCCGCTACAGAACAAAAAGCTCTTTCTCCCTTACTCTCGTTTGAATCCTCTTTCCGTTGGGTCATCTAACCAGCTCGAGGCTCGCCATCAGCCACCCAGAAAAGGGATAAAAAAGGGAGTGCAGAGGGGCAAGGAGTGTCGGTGGAAAAAAAAAGGAGAAAGACAAGGGACGAAAGAGGTAAGAAAAGAGTATTCATAGGGGGAGAAAAGGAGTGATAGAAGGAGGGAGGGATATATATCGCGGCGATACCAGGAGCGTAAAGGTCTCGAGGTACGCCCAAAGGGTCATCACCCCGACGAACCTCACGATGCCTCGGGTTCTGGCCGCCGCCAACCCTCCTCCGCTCTACCAAGCCTCCTGCTCTTTACCACACCCTCGTGACGTGCACTTTTGCTCCCTGGCGCGTCTCCAGGGACGAAGAAATATGGGCTGGCCTGCGAGAAAATGGCGTAATTATATACGAGGGCGGGAAAAAGGAGAGTGTAAATCAAAACCGCTCGCTCTTCTACTCTCCTTTACGCGATGCTTTCGGAGTCTCGAACCAAAAGAAATTGCGGAACGAGAGACGAACCACCGACTCTCGTTATCTACCTGTGCGAACCAAGGGAAACGATCCTTGGTTCGATTGGCAAAAGCTATCGCATTTTCTTCCCCCCAAGGAATCGTTCGCTTTGGATGAAGTTTCAGACGAAAAATTGATGAGATTTTATAGGAGAAGAGTTATCAACGAAGTGATTTGCATAGTAATTTTCGGGAAATTTTAAGCTACAAATTGATATGCCACAAGTGCTGTTTCGCACTACTTTTATGTCACGAAATCGTGTTAGATTTTGTAATCGTTCGCTCGGTAAATGGACACGATTACACCAGCGATTCTCCGTGATTCAAAGCGATCGCTTCCCTCGATATTTGACGTCAACGAGTTCTATGTTCCGTCGTGTTATTACGTTGCGTTCCGCTGAGTGTACGACACGGGGGGCCTCGACGAGTAGAAATCCGCGTAAAGAGGCCTCGTGCATTTCAAAAGGCTGCCAGGGCAACTGGGGATGGAAAAAAACGAGAGAGGAAGAGAGAAGTTGCGTCGGTGTTGCGGTAATATGCTCGAGTACTTAGGATCCTCGACCCCGTGACGTCATTGCCCTCATTAGAATAATTAAGAATGCCGTTCGCTAATTACGATGCGGCTCGTTCGTCGTACTTTTTCATCCTCTGGCTCGCCAGTTCCGTCCTTCTTCACGGATCAACATAAAATGTCTGAGTGACCGACCGACGTCTTCTGACTCTATTTTATGACCAGCATTACAATTTATTAAAATAAAAATCTCTGTTCCGTTTCTCTCTCGGCTCGGAGACATGCAACTTTTCAACATATTTCAAATGCAATTCTATGCAAATGCCTGGCAACGAGCTGGTCGCGGTTCGAATCAGTCACCAACACCGATTACAACCACGAAAGAAGCATTTGTATCCATAGAAAACCAGATACCTTTCAATAACATCGGGAATATAGGTCACAAAGTGAAACAGAGAAGCTAGGTAAACAGATTGAGCGCGTACACGTGTTGCACGAACGGACAAAGAAAGAGGAAAGCAGACAGTCGATAGGTTTTATCTCGACCTGGTTGACGTAGCGTTCGGAAAATGAATCGCTGCACGTGGATTCGTTCCGCCTTTTACCGAGGTTTACTTTCCACGTTTCAACGTTCTTCACGAGAAAAATCATTCTGGACATGAACAAGAAAAGCAACCAAGCTGTACACAGCTGATTGAATGCTGAAGAGCGCGGTGCTGAGCTCTTCTGGAACGAAATATCGATTCATGGCGAACCGTCAGAGAACCATGCCACCCTCACAGCTGTAACAGGAGAACCAGAACAGAGAGGGAGGTGAAATAAAGAATATACGTCCTTGTCGAACCACCCTTCTCTATTGCCAACCACCAGCCCATCGATCCAACGACAGACCACGTTCCTCTGTTCTACCAAGAAATTATCCCTCAAAGTATTTTCCTCTTCGTCGAGATGACAGAGAATTATTTTGATGAAAAAATTCCGTTCGAATCGATCTAGGTCGAAACGATCGCTATTTAACCCATGCTTGCACTTTCCGTATTGATCGTTCCTTTCAAAGTGCAAAGGGTTAACGTTTGATTTTTCTTTTAAGTCGTCGAACCCGATGAATCAGGGTTTCGCTCTTTCTCTCCCAACGGACAGAAGGAGTGTAGATAAACGAGGAGGAAGAAGCGAACGCTTTTAAACGTTTACACGTGGTTAGGATAAAACATATTGACGAAGTGAAAGGAAAATGGACTTGGGTAGCTTGAGCACACCGACCAGACAATGCTAAGCGGCATACAAAGACCGTGTCGAATACACGTGACTCATTGGCACTTAAACAATATAATAAAGAGTGGGATAACGTTGACATTATTGAGAGACAAAACATCAGGACACGGATGACCCGTTTTTCCCCTTTAATCTTAAAGTGATATACTATTCCTTACTTATTTCTATGATATTAACACAAATTCGTAGACTATTACAAGGTTGTTCGAAGTAAAAAAAGAGACGTTCGAACAGTCGAAGCCGACCTCGAACTGATCTATCCTAAGCCCTAATTATCGACTCGGCCGTAGTTGGCACGGTAACTAGTTGGATCAGCAAGCATTTCAGAGGTGGCCGTTATGCCCGATTTGGAATCAGCGTTTCTCTATCTGTTCCAGTTTATTTTCAAGTGCAACCGGCATGAGTCACTAGTCTGCACGCGCCTGTTATCGGGGATTGTGAGTTTGCCAACAAAGCGTGTGCTTCCTAACAAGAGAATGCGCGACTCCACTTCACCATCGTGACGTAAAACTCTGCCGATCAGCTGATATCGAACCAACCCACATACAGGGGAACCTTCGAAAAAGAAAGGTTTCGTGACCGCCGGCTGATATCTCTTACATTTTTCATCGTACCCTTTAAATAACAACGGTTTAAGTCTGTTGCTTAATTGCTGGCCCCGTTTAAGCCTGTTACTCGAATAGAGGACCTAGTTGAATTCTCCTTACACACATGTGTGTTGGAACGTCTAAGGAATGACTAACGAAACGTTATTCCTCGCAGATAAGATAAAACGTGTCAACATTTCGTTATCTCTGACGCGACGGCACGTATGCGATCAGCTGACGGTGTCAACGGTCATCGAGAAAACAATGGCCAGTATACCACGAAGGTCTCGCATTATGATTCTTCCTGTTTCGAACGAAGGGAGCGAGTTTTGTCTTTCTTCGAGCGTGACCGAGTATTTTTAAACTGTCGGTATGCCCCGTATAGAAAACAAGTACGAGGAATAAAGAGCGAGAGACGTGGTAGACGTATGTGTGAACGTACACTAATCCAGACTATGGAACACGTCCAAACGTATTCGAATAAGTTCCATTGTGCCATTGAGCTAGTGTTCGCGATGGTGTGACATACAAAAAAAAAATGGACATTTTTGTGCTTAGGCAACTGTGGATTTTGTTAAGTCATCTGAAGAAAACCCTGCCATAAATTGGGCCACGGTTTAGGATTTTTTACGATCGCGAGGAAGTAATGAAAAAGCAAACTTTAAAAGTCATCGAAGAGAAAAGAGAAGATAAAAACCGATATTCATCCAAGGAACAGCGAAGGACATCGCCCAACTTAGCAACAACGTCCTTTCTCCTAAAACTCGTTTTGGTTTTAATTTTCATTTCAAAAGGCACCGCTGAACTAAAAACCTTATTTATTGCCTACAATATAAAAGATAACGAATAAAAATATAACTACCTTAAGAAAAAGAAAAATATTTATATTTATACCTACGACTACGGGAAGCTTATTTTTGAAATTTAAACACAAATTTGTATATTTACACTGTGCGTTATAGATTCTCAACTAGAGATAAAAGTCAGGGATTATGCGCAGGGTGTCGTAACACGAGTGTACGTCCGCAGTGGTGGGGGTAGGCGCCTGGTGTTCAGACCCGAAAGTCAGAAGTTAGGTTAGGTTCGCAAGGAAATATAATGAAAGAAAATGCACTTTCACTGGTGTATGAAAAATCGTTATTGCATCAATGTTACTTATGCAAACACAGCGAAAGGGAACGTTTTGTTTGTACATCATAAGTTTTCTTGTAACGCAACTTGACGCGTCGAAATTAAACTCGCGAATCTTTGTTTACCGTTCGCTTTCCTAATATGGAAATTGTACAGATTTT